ATAAATTAATGGAAAAATTATGAAAGGGGCAATATTTTGTACTCTCCTGTATATTGTATAATGTTTCCCACACGACACGTTGGACGCGCACTGATGGTCTTGGGTAGAGCTGGTAATATGCCAGTCAACTTGCCAAGAAATGGTGGGTTGGATTGATAAAAATCAGACTCATTTTAAAATGAATCTTTTGAGCCCGTAACCTCCAAGACTAAATCCACAGTGGGCTAACCAGCAGGGTTGGCGGGTCGGCCCGTTTTATTTTTTAAATTTTTTTTAAAAAAATTTCTTCCTCAAATATAATTATGTTTACTTCTTTAGTCCTTTATCTCATTCTTATTATTTAAAATTATCATAATATAATATATCTTTTACATTGTATTATGAATTTTACTTATGGCAAAGTCAGTTGAGCAAAAAGAAGGTGATTCTACTTATGAAGCTTAACTAAATAATTTCACATCTTCGTATCATTTTTTGAATTATATCAACATTGAATGGTAGCTCATGGTTGAGCAGTTGATAGTGATTTGTAACATTATATTTGTATTATTATTAATTTAGATTTGTTATATTTTAATTTGGGATGTATATTTAATTATTTAGGATAATGTATCATGTATGCTTATAGTAGTATTTTAGAGTGTTTAGAACTTTGAATTTTATATTTTATTTATGATAATTTCTATATACATATTTTATTTTAGGTGTTTAAGAATTAAAATAAATTTTATTAAAAGAAAACAAAAAGGATAAAAACATTTAAAAAGAAAAAAGTGGCGGGTTGGTGGGCTGGGATGGGTTGGAAAAATATTAACCCGCTAGAAGTCGGTCTTTTTAGGACTGACCTGTCGGTCTTTAAACCCGTCACGGGCCAACCTATAACCGGTAGATTAGTCTATATTACCGGCTCTTGTCATGGATGGAGATGGAACCCAACTTTTGTAGCTTCTTCTTCAAAGTTTCAATTTCTCTGTATTTCTGTAATGACTTATCATTGTCATATCAGACTTAAGCATGGTTAATGAAAGACACCTATATTTCTGTTTTATTGACATGTTTCTGAAAATTCGACTTTGATAATGAAAGCCACCAGTTGCAGTGGGTCCACGCTCACCACGAGGACCACGAGGAAAGCTTTGGTTATATATATTTGTTTATTTTCGTTTTTCTTGGTGAATATACATTTTCTAATTTCCTGTCTTTTTTTGGGGTTGGGATATTTTCGAATTCAGGAGAAGAGTTTTTTTCCCTCCAAAAGTCATAATAAATTTTATATGAAAAATTGTGTAGAGCGTTACAACATTGAAAGTCACTAGGATATGCCCTCTCAGGTATTAACAAATATGGAAGGTCATAATGTGTCATAACCACCATTTGATGGGAGATTGTGTCAGGAAAATCCTACATACTAGAAGAGTATACATTCTTCATAAAAAAATTATTTTAAATAATGACCTAATTAACTAATTTGAATATACTACCTTCGGTTCTAATTATAAGAGCCAGTTGACTAATTTGAGAAGATTAAGAAAGTAAATTGAGTTAGTTATTTATTTTAAATAGGTGTTGTCTTTCCTAAAATATCCTTACTAATTAAGTGTATTGACTAGAACTATTATTGTTAGAAAGGCTGCTTTGAAAAAAATGTATAAATATGAGAGACAAAGTGGATTAGGGTCTTATATTTAGGACCAAAATAAAAGTCAAACAGGGTCTTATATTAAGGATCGGAGGTAGTATTAAATATGCTAGTTAAAATAGTTAATATGATATGTTTTTTCAAAACACTCTAATCATCTTCTTTAATTCCCTCTCTTTCTTGTTTATTTGATTATTATTGAGCAAATATCAATAGATTTAATTTACAAAAATTAATGAACATATAAAATAGGTCTTACATATAAGATCAATATCAATTTTCAAATTAGGTCATACATTAAAAACCAGAGAAATAACTTTTTTGTTATTAAATTTATGTTGGTTTGTGAAATGTATTGCTTCAAGAAGCACTTCTTTAGGCTATCATTTTATTGTCTATAAACATCTCTCATCCCCAATCTTTTCACACACAATATCTAACTCACAACTTTTGTTTTTTAATATGGGGGCATTTGGATAACTTCATAATCACTTTTCAGAAGTATTTTTTCGTAAATCAAAACAAATTCCTTCATATATTTACTTCGTATACCGTAAAAGTACTTTTAAAACCATGGTTTTGTTTTTACCTAAACACCCCTTATATCAGAGATAAAGTTAAATTATATCACTTAGTAAAAGTCGTCGTTATCCTAATTCAAATTTTGATAGTGCAAAATCACACTCGAGGGTTTTCATAACAACCTAAAAAAATTTGTCAGTTAATCCAATTTGTACCCAAAAATTAGAATAGGTTAGGGTAGATTAAATCTAAAAGGAAGTATAGTATTGTCTATATTTTGAAGTTCTGTTCTTTTTTAACTCTTCAAACAACTATTGTTGCCAACAACAAAAAAAAGCCAATATGCGTTGGATGATACATGATTGCTGTGAATCTTCAAATAATAAACAACAATCCCATTCTCCACAAAAAAATCCATTCTATTATTTACACACTTGTACAATTCCTTTTTATCCACTTTCATAATGGGTCATGCCACTTGAAATTCATCAAGCAATATGAAAGCTTTTCTTAGAACAGGTACTTCAGTCATAAAAGCAATCCTAATTATTACTTCCGGTTTTTAATATAAAAATTCATTTGACTTTTATTTTAATCCTAAATATAAGACCTAAATTCACTTTATCTCTCATATTTATTATTTTTTCTCAAGACAATCTTTATAATAATGGTAGTTCTAGCCAATATACTTGATTAGTAAAGATATTTTAGAAAAAATAATATTTATTTATTACAAATCACTAACTTAACTAGTTTTCTTAATCTATTTAAATTAGTCAACTAGCTCTTGTATTAAGAACCAGAGATAATATCACTTTGCGAAAATCATTATGTCTTCCTAAAAAAAGAATATAATTATTAAAAAAAATCTCATAACAAGTTAATGACAAATTCTAATACAAAAAATAACAGCAGGATCCCTACTACTAACTTATCGTTAGAATTTTTGATGACTCTTAGTGATTCCCCCTATTTCTTTCTCGCCAAAGCCTCACATAAGCTCCCTAAAATGGTTTTCGCGCACTATTCTTATAGCACAGCTTCTCGTGTTAGGCGTAAATGACCCATCACAAATCACTTTCACCCAATCATTCACTGGAGGTCTCCAGCAATATATTTAAAGTTTGGAGCTTTGAGCCACATACCTGCCAAATCACTAACACAACTGCACTAGTGGAATAGAGTTCACCCACCCATTTCGTAGAACACCCAACAATAAAGATTGGGGCCTGGTTGTTTCTTTATTGAAGATGAACTCATTTTTGCTCTTTTATAGTATCATCAGCCACAATAACGACAGTATCAAAGAAATAATTTCTGGTGCATTTAAGCTTTTCTTTAGACGATAGGAATTAATACATCACCTTTTGAGGCTTTCAATGTGTGGATCGTCTCCTGGTAGCAAAAAATGAAATGGGTATGTATGAGTAGAACTAGCATGTATACCATAATAGTACATCATAGACGTCACTTGGCCGGTTCAAAATATCATCACCCATATAATGGACGTGATAAAAGGGTGTTACGATTTAAGTGTATAAAGAAAAGAAAATACTACTATATTTCACTTGGCCTGGCTATTTCAAATCAACCACAAACATGCAATATTAGAAGAAAGATATATAGCTCTTCATCAACTGAATTGTAATTGAGTCATAACTCCCAAGGTGTGGAATATAATCAACCGAGACTAGATGGCAAAATTTTGAGAAGATTAAGTTGCACTAAATTAAACTTTATAAACTAAGCTTTAGCCAACTCAAAACTACATTAAATTTTCTTCTATTATGAATTAAGTTGCATCCAAGTGAATTATTTTTCCAACATTACTCGATATCTTAAGTTAATTTTTAATGTATTCATCATTCTAAAATATCTTGTCCGTAAGACTTAGTATTTTAAAATAATTTTTTGATACAAATTTATTATTAAAGTAGTTTTCTTAACAACAACGAGCATATTAAACTCAGAATACTGAATCTTAGTAAGAAATACTCAAAAATACATTATGCGCAAAAAATTACTTCAAAATACTTACTGCCATGAAAAATTCCTTTACAGTGCTAAACGCGTTAAAGATTAAGCTAGAATACTAAATATTACTACTAAAAACTACTCCTTCCAGTCCTATTTATAAATTTCAAATTTAAGAAGGGATGTGGTTCATTTTATAAATTTCAATTTGAATTTGTCTTGAAATTTAATGCATTTTTTTAAATATTGTCCTTAATTATTTTTCTTTTATCATGTTTTTTCACACATTTTCTTATTATTTTTCTCATTTATTATAATAACATATTCAAAAATATAAATATATTTCTAACCTATTTATTTTTTTAACTAATTTTAAATAACGATTTATTACTTGTGAGTTAATTATTTGAAACTTATAATGAGAAGCGGAAGAATTATTTTTGAAACCCACCTTTTTATTAATATTAATTTGCGCACAGACAAGTTATTTAGTGGATCAGAATCTTCTCTGCGGCCTAAATTCTCAGTGTCCCTTAGCGGCGTGAATTTCACCCGTCCAAATCAATCTGATATCTCACAGGCTGCCACTTCAACATCATTTTAAAACAATAAATTAAAGAGTAACCCTGAACCATTTTGTTTTAAAAAATAATCTTTTGTGTGATTTCCTACGCCCACCTCATTTCAACCGGAAGATTTATTGAGTATCTGAAGAGAAACAGGAAAAAAGAAAAATTTTAATAAACTAGATTTAAAAAATGAAAAAATTAATTTTGTTTACTCTTTTTTTTTTACCAGAAAACAGTAGTCCATTTTATTGATAAGCAAAAAGAAGTACATAACCCCAATATCCGAAGCCAAGAAAAACAAAAGAAAGCAGTAAATCCTAGGATACAACCTGAAAAAGCGAAAACAAGAAAGCTGGAGGCACCTACAGTACAACCTAGAAAAAACACAGAACCAAAAAAAACCAGCAAACACAAACACAGAAAACTTCAAATGGCAACGAAACATCAGCCAATACCTGTCCTCTCTTGGAAGAAACCAGTGCCGCAAGCAGAAGCACACAGGGCCTTATCTTCAGTAAGAAATTTGGCAAGAGAGGGTGGAGGCTGATTAGAACAACCTTCAAAACACACCCCCTTTGAGCTTGAGACTGCCAACCAATCTGCAGCCTTATTGCAAGATCTTGGAATTAGACCGAGAGAGACACCTGACATAGATCTTAAAGATGTCAAAATGTCCTCTATTACAACGTGTGACTGCCACTCACAAAGAGAACTTGAGTTATAATCCACTGCCTTAACTAAAGCCTCACAATCAGTCTCAATCAGATAGTTACCTTTGCCACTCAGCTTGATCAGGTCCAAAGCCTTTCTTGCAGCAAGAGCCTCTAACATGAAAGCAGAAGAAGATCTCACTTGTTCTGCTGTAAATTTCAACAAGTCACCATTCTCATTTCTGAAAATTACCCCAATACCAGCCTTACCAGATTTGCTAAGAAAAGATCCATCAATGTTTACCTTGATACATCCATGATCGGGAGCCTTCCATATTAAGCCTTCCCTGTTAGAAGCAGATAGAGTTTTTTCCTTCATCCACCCCCTAGCCACCCAAAACTCGTTCACCAAAGTAACTACATTTTTCAAGATCTTTTCTAGTTCTAGCATCATATCCTGATATACCACATTGCATCTTCCCTTCCATATACTCCAGCAAATAGACACCAGCAAGGATTTTTGGAATTCGTTGCTCTTTCTACCTTCACCAAGCATCATCCAGATCCAACTATCAAACCTAGAGATGTTCCTCTCATTCAACATAATTCCAATTGGAGATCCAAACCAGATATCTTTGCCCAATCACAGAGTAATAAACAATGCTCAATAGTTTCATCATTCTTGCCACAAATTTTGCAGACGGGGTCCCTGCAACATTTTCTTCTAAAGAGATTTTCTCCCGTGGCCAAGCATCCATTCACCGCTCTCCAAGTAAAGTGTTGAATTTTAGGAGGGACCTTCAGTTTCCAGATTTCTGTCCACAGACCTTTTGGTATCACATAGGATGATTTAGGTCTTGACTTACTACGAGTCGTTTTTCCATTTTTCAGAAAAGCATATCCAGCCTTCACTGAATATTCCCCATTTCTACTTCCCTTCCAGATTCTTCTATCTTCTCTCCCACTATTGGAAATGGGGATCTGTAAAATATCTCTAACAGAATCAGCATCGAACACCTCAACAAGCTTGTCTTCCTTCCATTGTCCATTCTCTATTAAGTCACTAACAAGCATGTCAGGATAGGCAGAGAATTGAGTCACAGAATTCTTGAGCGCACAGTCACCAACCCACCAATCCTCCCAAACCTTCACCCTAGTTCCATTCCCAATTCTCCATATAAGGTTCTGTTTCAGCATGTCTCTGCCTTCTAAAATACTTGACCAGCACCATGAGGCTCTTCCTCCTTTTTTAGCACTTAAGAAGTCTTTGTCAGGGAAGTAACGACCCTTAAGTACCCTTACCCACAGGGCCTTAGGATTTTGAATTGCTCTCCAAGCTATTTTAATCAGCATAGCCAAATTAAAATCAGAGAAGTCTCGAAACCCCATTCCTCCTTTCTTCTTTTGCCTAGTCATTATGTCCCAGGCTTTCCAATGAATACCTCCTTCCTCAGAACATCTTCCCCACCAGAATTTCGAAATAAGGCTGTCAAACTCTTTGCAAGTTTTCAATGGCATTTTGAAGCATGTCATAGGGTAAATTGGCACTGCATTAGCCACAGCTTTGATTAGCACTTCCTTTCCAGCGTGAGTGAGAAATTTTTGCTTCCATCCTTGAATCTTCCTAATCAGTTTTTCTCGAATGAAAGCAAGAGCTTCTACTTTAGACCTTCCCCAGATGATAGGCAAACCAAGATACTTACCAGGGTCGTTTGTTTCTTTAATTTCTAACCAGTTGCAGACCCTATTTTTACTAGCTTCATCGGTATTCGCAGAGAAATAGATGCCTGATTTTTCCAAATTAACCAGCTGACCTGAGGCTTTTCCATAAACAGCAAAGATTTTTTTCAAGTTTCTGCAATTCCTTTTTGATGCCTTCATGAAAAATAATGAATCATCCGTAAATAAGCAGTGTGACAGAACTGGACAAGAAGGATTCATTTTAATACCTTCTAGCATGCCGCTTTCCACATTTATCCTGATCATGCTAGATAGGACATCTGCTACCAAAATAAAAAGGTAAGGTGATAGGGGATCTCCTTGCCTCACCCCTCTTCCAGGAATTACTTCAGCAATTCTTTTTCCTGATAGCATTATTGAATATTTCACCGTCTTCACACATCTCATGACACAATCAACCCACTTTTCATCAAATCCCATCTTCAACATCACAGCCTCAAGGAAATCCCATTCAATCCCGTCATAGGCTTTGCTCATATCTATTTTTAGAGAAAATTCAAATTTGGCAGAAGTTTTACGCCTTTTCAAGTAGTGGAAAACTTCATGGGCTAAAATGATATTATCATGAATCATTCTACCTTCCACAAAGGCACACTGATTTTCTGAGATGATTTTAGGCATCAAGAACTTCATTCTGTTTGTCAAAACCTTTGAAAGCACCTTGTAGTAGAAATTACAAAGGCTTATAGGTCTATATTGTGTTACCACTTCAGGTTTGTCAACTTTAGGAATCATCACTAAGTTAGTAGCATTCACAGGTTCAACAAATTCACCATTTTCAAGACAATTCTTCACAGCTTGGTAGATTTTTTCGCCAATAGTTCCCCATGAGCAGTGGTAAAATTGCCCAATGTATCCATCAGGCCCAGGTGCTTTTCTTGCCCGCATTTGGAGACAAGCTTCTTTCACCTCTTTTCTAGTGACACTTCTTAGCAGCATTGAATTATCATGCTCAGAAACCTTACAGTCCATGTAACTAAGAGCCTCAGACATGTCTCTTGCACCAGAATCCGAGAATAGGTCTCTGTAATAATTGGTAAATTCCTCAGCTATGTTTGCCTCTTCCTCCATCCATCTACCCTCGTTACTCTTCAATCTCAATATCTTGTTTCTTGCTCTGTGTTGTACTGTAGTGAGATGAAAAAATTTTGTATTTCCATCCCCTTCTTTTAGCCACTTCATTCTGGATCTCTGGTGCCAGTACTTCTCTTCCAGCCTCCAAGCTTCCTCTATTTCTTCAATAATTGCTTCTTTTCGCTGCAAAATCTCATCAGTAAGAATTTTCTTATTGCAGGCTTCTAGCATAGTCATCAGATTTTCAATTTTTTTCTGTTATTAGGAAATGCTCTTTTACTCCACTTTCTGAGAGCCTTGCTACATTCCTCTAGCTTCAAAGCCAATTCTTTAGTCGAGGCAATAACTTCTTGCATAGCTTTACCCCAACTTCTCTTGACCACACCTTCAAAATCCTCATGCTCACACCAGTAAGGCTCAAACCTGAATAATCTGGGACTCTTACTTTGTTGATAATGTAAATTCACCACTAATAAATGATGATCTGAGCCCACCGGTTCCCAATGGAAGACTATGGCTTTTGGGAATTTTTCTCTCATATCACCATTCCCAAAAATCTTGTCAATCCTTTCCTTAATATGAGCTTCCCCACTCCTGCCATTAGCCCAGGTAAACCTTGACCCTTTAAATTCCAAATCCATGAATTCATAGTCACTTATCATCTTGTGAAACCTTAGGATTTTCCTAGCTGCTCTCTGGTTTCCTCCTATTTTCTCATTTTGATTGAGGATTTCATTAAAATCCCCAGAGCACATCCATGAACCATTGATAGAAGAAGCCATTCTTGTCAGTCTCTGCCATACTCTACATCTCTCTGCTTCTTTAAGAGGGCCATAGATCAAAGTAAGGAATTCAGGTACTTCCTCACTTGAACAAGTGATCTTAGCATGTATGATATTAGAACAACATGAGATTAGGTCAAAGTTCAATTCATCCTTCCACCAAACTGCTAGTCCCTCGCTCCTGCCTCTTGGGTCCACATATAGCTCATTCTGGAACCCCAGTCTTCTTCTAATTTTTTTCATGTAAGTCTGGTGCTTTTTAGTTTCCATTAGAAACACTAAAATAGGCCTATGTTTCTGGCAGGCTTCTTTTATGTTCCTAACTGCCAAGGTAGCACCAAAACCCTGGCAGTTCCACATGATAAAAGTCATGGCTCCAAGGTGACTGATTGTGGCCAGTCACCAACACCATCAGTAGGACAGTGCTCAGTTTCCCTTTCAGTCACTAGGGATAAAATTCCATTATTCAGAGCTGATTTCCCTGCTATTCTTTTTCCTTGTCTCGACTTATTCTTGAAAAACCTGAGACTTCTTCTTATCTCTTTCTTTGGGGCAACATTCTCTAGAGAATTATGATATTCTATCAAATTTTCAGAGTTGAGTCTCCTTCTCTTCACGTTTTTCCCTTCTTCATACTCATAAAGTTTTCTCTTTAAAGCAATCTTTTCCATACTACGTGTTACTTCTGACATAGGGGAGATGCTTCCATAAACCACCAGCGCTTTCGAGAGATCATCATTTTCTGCATCTACACAGTAATTCTCTTTCAGTACTGCCCTGGTAGACTTTTTCCTCACTACCTTCCTCCCAAGTTCTGCATCACATGAGTTGCCTTCACCAGCTACATTTTCATTGTTCTGTTCCTTTGATGGCAGTAACCCCTTCCCAGTGTTATCTATCCTTTATACCATGTATTGGATAGCTTCCTCCTTGCAATTTTCTTTAGCACTTCTACTGTCAACAGTCTCAGTAGCTACATTCTCCTTATTCACCAATTTCGGCTGATTAGTCAGTTTTGGAGTCTCTCTTCTCGAATCACTAGAGAGATCCTTAAAGCCAATAGCCTCTTCCCAGTCTGAATTACATACCCTAATTGCTTCAACAATGTGGCGCGCAGATTGAATGCTTAGCCAGGAGCCATACTCAGCTGACTTAGCATTCTCCTTATCTTCAAAGTGACCACAAGATCTCATGTCGTGTCCAATTCTGCCACATGCGAAACAGAAATTCTGCAACCTTTCATACCGAGCCTTAATCCATATAGGATCTTTATCTTTTCTAGGAGACCACATTCCAGTCACCAATGGCTTCCTTAAATCCACAAGGACTCTGGCTCTTAAGAAACTCCTGATTAATAAGCCATCGCCTCTTGGATCCTCCACCATCATTACCTCACCAATTAGACCTCCTAATTTCACAGCATTATCTACCTCCATCGCAGCAAGAGGAAGATCATGGAACTGAATCCAAAATGGGCAAAAGTCAATGTTCACCTCGCTAAATATCTTATCATCATTCCAGCTCTGTATGTTTAATAGCAATCCGTTAATCGACCAAGGCAGACCTCTTAGGACTCTTTCATAATCTTCTTTTCGACGAAATTCAAAGATAAATGCCTTCTGATCTACTTCAGCTATTTCCAGATCTTCTCGCTTTGGTATATTCCAGCTTTTACGGATCATTTGTATCGTAGTAGCCGGATTTAAGTTCTTCTCTGAGATTATCTTTCCAACAAGAGCACCACCAGAGAGTTTGTGCTCCTCCTTCTTTCTCCAGGTCAGCTCAACTTCAAGTTTACTTGATCTCTTGTCTAATCCTTCTCCTTTACACTTCTCTTCGACCTCCATCTCTATCATTCACCTTATCTCCACAACTCCTCTGTCCTCACAACTGCTTCTCTATTGCAATGAGTAATAGAGAAGCCACTCTTTACAATCTCCACAGCAGTAGGCCACGGAGCTCACACAGAAAGCATCTCTCTCTGCCACAGAGCACGACGGATCAAGGAGTTCCACTGCAAAATCGGCGATAATTGTTGTAACTAACTCTCATGTGGAGAGAGAAATGCTCCCACTCAAGAGAGAGACTCGTTATGTGTTGTCTTAATTTTGTTTACTCTTTTATCTTACATCTTTTCTTTATCAAAATTTTATAACTCTGTGTTTCTAATTTTTTAAATAAACCCCATTACAATTTTTCTTTTTCTACAACTCTCTCATTTCAAATATAGGGTCAAAGTATAGGCTAATCAAC